GGTACTTAAACCTTATTCGTTTCTAAAAATGCCTCATATCTCTTGATGTATGGGTCACCAAACCTCCTTTAAAACATGGAACTCCTGAAATTCATCTATTTGGTCTTAATTTTTAAACTCCACGGGGAAAATGTGTTCTGTCAGTCTCTGATTCCTCCTTCCCTTTCACCCCAGTTTTATTTAATTTTTGTGGATTTTGTGAAGTGCTGCCGCTGCACTATTTTCTGTGAATTTTTTTGGGTAAATCTATATGTGTTGTTTTTATCTATCCACTGCATTAGAGATCTCGTGGCAGGAAACCATGGATACATGCTATTTTGGATTGCTGTATTAAGTGAGTTAGTTATGTAATGGTTCTGTATTGGTTTAAGAGATAACGATAGGTTTTAGATGGCTAAAAAATGAACCCTGACTGCAAGCCATTTTTGAACTGTCTTAAAATGTTTCAGTTGAATGTTCACTAGATCATATCAATTACATTGGCATTGTTTTGAGTGCAAATTATGTTTTTCATAATGCCTTCCAAGATTTATTCATATTCTTACCATTGCAGGGCCGATTCCAAATATTACGCTTGTCTGGTTCTTACCTGGTTGCCGAAGACGGTGGACACCGCAATAGAACTGGTTGTGAGTGTTTCCCTTGCCAGTCCTGAAGGTCATGTTATTGGTGGTGGGGTTGCTGTGCTTATTGCTGCAAGCCAAGTGCAGGTATACCCTCGTCCACCCTAGTTTCAACCCATGAGAACGTTTTGTTCCTGTTTGATCCTTTTTGCATACTTGGTCATGCTCTTATGGCTAGGCGTGGTGCTATCTATTCATGCATACATCATTTCCCCATTTCATCTTGTACATCATACTTTATAGGACGCTTTACATTTAAACCACAACAGTAAGAATTCTTTTTTTTTTTTTTTAACTAACTTTGCAAAGCTGGGAATAGAAAGTAGCTTATGTTCCTATAATGAGAAACCCTTTGATGCAGGTGGTAGTGTGCAGTTTTAATTTATGAAGGGTCCAAGACCAAGCAAGGGAGTGCCTCTCAGGGCGATGCTTCTGAAGCTGAGCATGACAAGTTAGCTACCCCGGCAAGTGCTCCGCCATCTCAAAACTACATCAACCATCAAGAGGCATTTGGCCATCTGATCTAAAAGTACACATACTGGTATTGACTTGATGCATGGATAAAAATTTAGTTTTGAATGGACATTTGCAGTTTTGTATAGTACGCAGATATATAACTTGTGTGTCGTTTGTAAATGAACTGAATTTACGAGCATTGTATTAAGCTATGGATGATTGCCAGGTTTGCGCTAACGATTTATTGCTGTAACAGATCCATTATTTTCAGGGTTCATTCACTGTATGGTAAGCATTAGACGGATTCAAATATTTATTTGAGTGAAAACTATGTTGGCTGGAAAGTTCTTGGATTCTACTTTGATGGGGATACCATTTTGAAATCCTACTGTGAAAAGTCATTTCTGCCGCTAGCGGTTTGATGTTGAGATCAATTATTAGGCTTTCATTGAACTGCTCTCTGCAATCTTGTCCTTGATTGGACAAAGACATCACATACTTTAAAGTTGCCAGACCAATATGATATTATTGCAGAATACAAGTTGACTTTCGGAGAGAACTTTTCACCTAAATAACAATCCTAGTCTCACTTTTCATCAATTCATACTTTTTATTTTTTAACAATTTAATTCGTTGGAATAATTATGAAAACAATTTATCCTTTTCGTCATTAAAATTATATCAATATTTAAGATTAACATGGAAAGTAATTAGTTTCCTTAGAGGGTAAAAGAATGCCAAGGAAATAGTTCAGATGGTAGTTTATGCACCAGATCAATAGAAACGTCTTCGGTAGCATAATTGAGGGGTTACTCGTAGTTATCTCTCTGTTTTTTCTACTTTGGCCAGAAGGAAGATTCTTCAACAGTAAATTTCTTTTAAAGTACCCTTGTTTGTAAATTTGTTTCAGAAATTCTTATTTAGAAGTGATAGGCGCCCAAAAGTTTTTTTAGAGCAAATTTGTTTCGAAAGTTTAAAATCATAACAAATTACTTCCTCTGTTAAAAATATTAATGATTAGCATTACTATATTAATAGTTAATCTTAGTTTTTTAATGATAAAAGAAAATATACTGAAATTTTAAACTTCGGTGACAAGTTTGCTTTCAAAGACATTTTCATTGGTCAATATTCTTATGTAAAAATTCCAAGGCAAAATGTTTTTAATCTTTGCTTCTTTTGTAAGAACTTTTGATTTCTAGTGTCTTTAATAGGCTTAAACTTTTTTATTTGACTATGGATGACGGGATGCATTGGACCAAAAACAATTTGGTGGGATGGAGGGTGGTGGAACTTGAGACGTCTATTTTTTTTAAAAAATTATAATAAGGTTTTAAGGAAGGAAAAAAAATTAAAAACAAGTTCTAAAAGTTGTCATTCTGTACTCTAGAACTTGTTATTATGAACTGCAATTGCTTACGTTGTTATTAGAACTTTTTAATAATTATTTCTCTTCTTTAGGATTTGATTGTAATTCTCCCATTTTTTAAAGTTTTTTAATTTTTTAATTTTTTTTTTAATTTGGTGCTTTTGCTTCTTAAGTTCATATAAAGCAGAAACCTCTGCAATTTCTCATGTTATTCTCGGACAGATTCTTCTCACACGACAAGACCATGTGCTATTATGAGAGTAAATTTCTAGGCACTCTGCAATAGATATGAACGTTCCTTGAAACCCTTTTTTCAAATGGACTAAATTCAACACACATCATTTATAGCTAAAGGATTCTAAGTCCTTATTTAGTACGCGTAATACGCCGCATCTGAGGATAAACAAGTTTCTTTTTCAAGTAAACATAAATTTAATACACAACATACAGGGAAAAACCAAGAGCTCTTCGTCATATGAGGTGCTTGACAATTTATATAATACCCACAATCTTTTCGATGTCCCGCTGCAATAAAAGACAGACCACAAGAATTGTGAAAAGCTAAAAAACATTCTTTAAGAGATATCGGTCAGTAAATAACAAACAGGTAACTTATGGATGATCTTTTTAAAGGGTATTTGGATGGAACCAAACCATGATTTCAAAAGTACTTTTACGATTTACAAAGTAAATATGTGGAGGAGTTTATCTCGTTTTGCAGAAAAGTACTTCTGAGAACACTTTTGAAACTTACCAAACACTCCCTAAGTTATGAAATAGGAATTTTATGTAGAGATCAAAGGTTTTTAATTTTTTTGTTTTTTATTTACCTCAAGGCTGAGAGGAGAAGTTGTGGGATAATAGCGACCCACGGCCTGGCCGTTCTTGTCAACTAGAAATTTGGCGAAGTTCCACTGGACATCATCGCCAATAATTCCCCATAGGCACGACTTTAAGAACTTGTACACTGGGGCAGTATTGTCGCCATTCACTTCAATCTAATCCAAAATCAACAGGACTTGCTTATATAATCCAGTACAGGTACCATTTTTTGGAAGTTGCAGAAATTAATAATGATACTGACTCCCCACACCATCTAGCTAAATATATAAGTGACGTTCAAGTTCCTGGCTGGGCAGGGTAAAGCAGTTCAGAACAATTAGTGTCATGCTTAATGTTAAGCCTTCCCAATACAGTTTTTTGAATGAAACGCAGCACCGGTTAGGACATAAACGAACAGTAGAACGCAAACCAAGACATTTAGTGATTCATGGCTGTTGTTTATAGTAGTCTATTCGTCACTGCAAAACATAATTGACCCAGAGGGTAATAGCAAGCATTGCAAAAACTGCACAAAAATGTAACCATAGAGTTTTAGACCCTGAAACGCCCAAGAAATATGGACATAATCAGCTTTCCTGTATTGTAAGGACCTACCTTATCAAAGATGGGGAATTCTGATTTGAAGCGAGTGCAGACAAAATCCACGATTTCATCATTGGTTCCAGGTTCTTGTGCACCAAACTGATTGCATGGAAATCCCAGTATCTCGAGACCTAATGAACCCTTACAAACCCGTCATTTGCATTGATTATGTTACAAAAAAACCATTAAAAGGCACAAGAATGACATATATGAACGAACCAACCAAAGAGTTTAAGGCACAAACCTTTATCTTTATACTTCTCATATAATTGATTCAGCTCCGTATAATTCGAGTCGGTTAAGCCACTGCCTCCATCCCAAACAATGAACAAGAATAGTAAGCTAAAGAAGACTAGAAACTAGACGCCACAGCTTCAAGTGTAATGTAAGGCATAATCAAAAGACGTGAGGAGGAAGCAAAGAACAAGCAGCAGCGAACCATTTGGAAGCAACATTGACAATCAGCAGGACTTTTCCTTTGTAAGTAGAAAGGTCAACATCATTTCCCTTAGCATCCTGCAAGGGAGCATAAAGAATGGCAACAAATTTAACCATCACATTTTCATATGATGTTTATTTACCTAATACAGATATCAACATCTTCGATCTAGTTAAAGTTTCATACAATGATTTATAACATGCATATCTGCTCAGGATATGCAATTCAATTAAGCTTTAAGTTTGCAGCCATATTCAAATGATTTGTTAACCTTAACAAATTTTTCAGAAAAACAGAAATGGCCATCGGACTGCTAGATTCTTTAATTGGGAAAGCATGTAAAATTTTTATCATGGAAATCCCAAATTCAAGGGTATCATCATTCAGAAAGAGAGACCCGCGAAGAAGTTCAAATTGAAGATGTAAGATTAACGGGTCGGTCAATCCAAGCAAAGCCAAGACATAAGCAAGAGTATAGGAATAACGGGATAGCTAAACTAAAAGACCAACCTTGACGACAAAATCGTACACGGATTTTGGATTAGTGGCTTCGGTAGTCATAGCGTGCAGACGAAGAACACAAAACTAGAGGGAACCTAAAAAGGCCGAAACCAATCAATGAGCCAAGATGCAGGTACGTGGCTTATATATGAGCATGAATGTTCCCTATGAGATTCCCACGAGAATAAGGCTGATGCTTCGATGGGCCAGGATGACTGATGAGGATCATCACTAGTGAAGGGCATTCGGTTGCTCACTTACTCTCGTGATAACCAAGGTTTGGTTCCTGAATTACCTGTCAACGACCACCGACTGATTGGATTAAAATTAATGTAGATGGGGCCAGTTCCTTATCATCTAATAACGCTAGCTGCGGGGGTGTTGTAATGGAATGTGGCTTGCTGGATTCTATCAGATTCTTTAGGCCCTTTTGGTAGGAAGAATTGAAGAATTGATTGGAATGGAAAGGAATGTATTATATCTAGACAGAAGGATTCTTTGGCAGACGCACTCGCTAAGCATGGCTTCTCCTCTTCCAACCTATGGGTTTCTTGTCCTTCGTTCCTTCAATCCTTGGTGGATAAAGAAGCTTTTACTCCGAGTTCTTTGATAGGGTAGTCTTTTAGTTTGTGTTTTTGGGGGGAAAGTGATATTTACTTTAGGGGGGAAAATGTTTTGACATCATTGAACCACTGTTTCTCGCTCAAGAGTCTGAAAATTTAGAAAAATGTGGATTATTCAGGATTGTAATTTATTTGGAAATAATATGTGCTTTAACGATGCTCAAAGAGATACAAATTTTTACTATATTTTTAACATTTAAAGAAAAAAATAAAATATAACATAGGATTAAGAAAATAGAATATCATCTTAGACGTTAACAACTAGTTGTCCCAGTAGTAATACTACCTATTATATTGGATGATCTTAAATATAACATTAGCATGTTTATATGTAAGGCATAAAATGAAATTAAAAAAAAAACATTGTAAAAATAAGATGAGTCTCAAAAACAATCAACGAGGCAAGGTGCCGGTTCTAGATTATATGAGGGCAAAAACCAAAAAAGGTTTGCGGATTACACACGAGTGTGATAATTCCCTAATAGACCCCATCTAAATAAGGTTAATTAATGCATTGTCATACCATTTCTTATTATTAAAAAGAACGTCTCTTTAGAAGAACATGAGTAGGTGGTACCACAATTTTTTTTTGGGCAACAGACGGTACATTGGTACCACAATTGATGTTATGTACCAACTGCTCACGATCATTATAGAGAATTTATCATTAAAAACATGTAGCTGATTTACCAACTACCTAAATTTAATACACGCGTCAACTTCGACTTAGTAATCAAAATTAAATCACATGATTTGATTTTATGAACGTTATCATATTATTCCAAGCTGTCACTTATTTCAATGTCTTCAACTCCCCATTACACGGGGCGAGTTTGAGATGCACACATGTTTTGACTTCAATTGACCATTTCGTCATGTCCTAAGCCTCGGAGCAAATTTGGGAAATTTGGAGTATCTTGGGTTTTTATTTTTTTTCGATACGCATACTGAACAGAAGAAACCATACAATTTAATAAGTCACGGATATGTAATTCCCGGATCATAATATCAAACATTAGATAAGGCATCCCTGCATCCAACAATTTCTGTTTGTCCCAAAACCATTCCTCCCAAGGTGTGAATGAATGCCAGATTTCTCTCTCTTAAACGAAATAGATATTGATGTTCTTCTTCTTTTCTTTTTGTTTCATTTTAGAGTCTCATGGCATGATGCTGTTCTCCAAGAGATTCAATTCTCACTTGGTAGGCAAGATCATTTACTGCTGTTAAAGCAGACTGTCAAGGCACTAGCATTTCATTATCTGCATATCCCCTAGCAGTCCAATTTTCAATAATAATAATAATAATAATAATAATAATATTATTATATTATATATTATTAATATAATATTAATATTAATATAAGCTTGATTAAAAATTCTACACGCACTAATCACTTATAGCCGAAGGATTTGAACCCAGGCACTGATCTACTAAACATCATACTGCTGCGTGCGGGAATAAACATGTTTCTCTCTTTTCCAGGCGACCCGAGAATCCATCATCACATTTGTTTACAAGCTTAAGTTCACCATGGGCTCTTTTCAAGCTGTATCCTTGCATTCATAAGATACCAAGTAGCTTTTTGATGTCTCGCTGCCAAACCACAAAGATGCCTCAAGAATTAGGAAAAATGGGAAGAAGTTTCTTTAAACAATCTCCCTTAGTAACAACAAACATAGGCAGCTTGTGAACGATCAGTTTGAGTAATGAAACTTAAGAACATATGCAATAAATACTTGGGCTTTACCTCAAGGCTAAGAGGGGAAGTGGTGGGATAATAGCGATCTACGGCTTGACCGTTCTTGTCAACTAGAAACTTGGCGAAGTTCCACTGAATATCATCCCCAATAATTCCCCACTTGCCTGTCTTCAAGAACTTGTACAGTGGAGCAGCATTCTCACCATTCACTTCAATCTAACCCAACCACATTAGACAACATGATTATGTCACATTTAGAAGTTGCAGAAATTAACATAGGGAACTCGCCTATATACTTCCTCCGGCTAGCTACAACTAGTCAGGTGACGTTAAAATCCGTAGTTGTGCAGGATAAAGCAGTTTCAGAACAATTAGTGTGATCTTAATGCTATGTTTTCCCAATACCATTTTTTGAATGAAATACAGGAGCGGTTAGGACAGAAACATACAGTAGAAAGATAGAGCACAATATGCCTGTTGTTTATGCGAGTTTTTTGGTCACGACAAACATAACTGATGCATAGGGTAATGGCAAGCACTTGACAAACTGGTAATGGCAAGCACTTGACAAACTCGATAAAGAAAATAAAATTTTAGACCTTGGAAATGGAATGTCCAAGAATTGCCCAGACTTTGTATGTGGACATACCTTATCAAAGATGGGAAATTCTGATTTGAAGCGAGTGCAAACAAACTCTGTAATTTGATCATTGGTACCAGGTTCTTCCTCACCAAACTGATTGCATGGAAACGCCAGTATCTCCAGGCCTAAACAAACGTTTATAACCCAGTCTCATTTCTATTGATTAAATGTGTTATAGAACACTTGAAAGAAACAGTGATTATCAAGGTGACGGATTTTAATATCAGTGTCTAAAAGGGGCTCCTCCTTTAGGGATAAGAAAATGGTTTTATACAATCACAAATCGTACAAGTGACTCTAGATGGATATCAAAATTTGTTACAAGATCTTTGGGCACGAGATATATTATTCAACAACCCCAACGTGGCTTTGACAATTATAATGCCAGAACTTGGAGATTCTGATATATCTCAGACTTCCTAATTAAGATTTTAGGTATTTAAAAAAATCAGTTTGTTTACCATTTTACCGCCCCAGCCATTACAGAAAAGCGTCCTAATTCCTGACAAAGAAAGGACTAACGCGCAATCTTGAGATGATTTGGAGCAGAAAAACACAGCAGTAAGAAGAGATGAAATTAATTAGTCGAGTTTCCACATTAAATTAAACGGCACTTGTAGATTGTGAGTTCAATAAATTACTTCCTTTTCACTTGTATGATTGTGCTGGTCTGAGATACCATAAAAGAAACAACAGTGTTCAAACTACAAACCTTTATCTTTATACTTCTCATATAATTGATTCAACTCCATATAGTTTGAGTTGGTCATGCCACTGCCACAATCCCAAACAAGAAGAATAATAAGATATAGATTACTAGAAACAAGATATCATAGCTTTAGAGTACCAAAAATAAAATATTAAAAAGAGAGGCTAAGCACTGAAAAAAAATGCTATAGCTTCAAAAGGATACAAGGCGTAATCAAAAGACACGAGGGAGGAGAATTATGATAAGTTAATGCAAGCATCTATACCATTTGGAAGCAACATTGACGATCAGCAGGACTTTTCCATTGTACGCAGCAAGGTCAACATCATTGCCCTTAGCATCCTGCAAGCAAACATGAAGAATGGCAACGACATTTAAGAATTAACGTACGGTAACTTCAAAACATGCCCACGTGATCAAGCCAAACTTAGTCTGCTGCCATATCTTAATGACTTAGTAACCTCAGCAACTACTTCAGAAAGACATCAATGTCCACTAGATTGCAAGATTCTTTAATTGAGAAAACCATGAAAATGTTATCACGGAAACCCAGAAAAAAAAAGGGTCCACGCACTCAAACGTTCGCAGTGGGAGGGATGTTTCAGTGAAGAAACCCATATTGAAACCCCCTTTATCTCCAGAAACAAGTTACTTGGTTTCAAACTAACGAAGAAGAGCGTTGATCCAATAACAAAACAATAAACAAGATAGGGTTGGCCAATAACACATCCTGGAACTATAGATCATCCTTCTTTTATCATACTCCATAGTCAATACCATAAAGTGCCATAGTCAATACCATAGAGTGAAAGCATAGACAGTTGGCAAAAAAAGAAAGAAGGAAAGCATAGACAGATGGGCTGTCATTGAGTGACTAAACCATCATAAGAATCCAGAGAAGACCAACCTTGACAACAAAATCGTACACAGACTTTGTATTAGCGGGTTGGGTAGTCATCGCGCGCAACTGCAGAACGCAGGAAAATCAGAGAAACCCAACTACACTCGACGAGCTGAGGAGGACGCGCATGCCTTATGGGTTCAAATATGAGCCATCAGACGGATCCTGAGCCTTGCAACCTAGGTAAGCGGTCCGACGTGGGGGGATTCGGTTCGGTCCATTTGCAGGGCCAGATTCAAGGGAAAATCACTAACAGGTCCCACAGAAAGTAATTTATTACTCTGATGTCCCACAAAATGTCAAAATCACTGACAGATCCCAAGGGACCTCAGAGTAATATTTTCGTTTTGTAAAATGACATTACTGCCCCTCATATTCCAGATTCACATTTGCTCTTCATTACGATTTACAACCTCAGCAGCGACTATTAACAACCTAATGAGAGGGCGTTAACAACCCTAGCAGTATCCGTTAACAACTTACTTTATAGAATTATATAACCTCTACATAAGAGTAAATTATAACCAAATAATATAATACAACAACTTAACACTAAAATGGGAAGCTTTTTGATATCATTAAGAATTTTAACTAGATCCAATAGGATTATAGTAATATTTTAATGCGAATATCCATTTACAATCTCAACAGCGATTATTAACAACCGAATGAGAGGGAATTAACAACCTAAACAGTAGCTGTTAACAACTTACTTTATAGAATTATATAACATCCACATAAGAGTAAATTATAACCAAATAGTATAATACAACAACTTGAATACTAAAATGGGAAGCTTTTTGATATCATTAAGAATTTTAACTAAACCCAATAGGATTATAGCAACATTTTAATGCAAAGATCCATTTACAACCTCAATGGTGAGTATTAATAACCCAAAGAGAGCTGTTGACAATCTAGGCAGTATCTATTAACAATTGACTTTATAGGATAATATAACCTCTAACAACTATATAAGATTAACTTTAAGACTATTTAGTTATAATTTAGTTAGTTATAGTTAGAAGTTATATTATCCGATAAAGTTAGTTGTTAACAGACACTGCTAAGGTTGTTAACAATTCTCCTTAGGTTATTAATACTTACTGTTGAGGTTGTAAATGGATTTTCGCATTAAAATGTTGCTATAATCCTATTGGGTTTGGTTAAAATTCTTAATGATATCAAAAAGCTTCCCATTTTAGTGTTAAAGTTGTTGTATTATACTATTTGGTTATAATTTACTCTTACGCGAGGTTATATAATTCTATAAAGTAAGTTGTTAACGGATACTGCTTAGGTTGTTAATGCCTTCTCATTCGGTTGTTAATAGTCGCTATTAAGGTTGTAAATGGATCTTCGCATTAAAATATTACCATAATCCTATTGGATCTAGTTAAAATTTTTAATGATATCAAAAAGTTTCCCATTTTAGTGTTAAAGTTGTTGTATTATACTATTTGGTTATAATTTACTCTTATGCAGAGGTTATATAATTCTATAAAGTAAGTTGTTAACGGCTACTGTTTAGGTTGTTAATGCCCTCTCGTTCGGTTGTTAATAATCGCTGTTGAGATTGTAAATGGATATTCGCATTAAAATATTACTATAATCCTATTGGATCTAGTTAAAATTGTTAATGATATCAAAAAGCTTCCCATTTTAATGTTAAAGTTGTTGTATTATATTATTTGGTTATAATTTACTCTTATGTAGAGGTTATATAATTCTATAAAGTAAGTTGTTAACGGATACTGCTAGGGTTGTTAACGCCCTCTCATTAGATTGTTAATAGTCGCTGCTGAGGTTGTAAATCGTAATGACAGAGCAAATGTGAATCTGGAATATGAGGGGCAGCAATGTCATTTTACAAAACGAAAATATTACTCTGAGGTCCCTTGGGACCTGTCAGTGATTTTGACATTTCGTGGGACCTCAGAGTAATAAATTGTCTTCTGTGGGACCTGTTAGTGATTTTTCCCCCAGATTCAATGCCGCTGCATCTTTTTTCCTCCCCGCCCCCCTTTCTAGAAGGTGTTTGGATACCCAATATTATTTTTTAGAAATGTTTTTTTGTAAATTGAGATAAATTCTTCTACATATTTACTTCGTATACCGTAAAAGTATTTATAAAACCATGATTTTGATCTTATCCAACATCCTCTAATTTTTAAAAAAGCAAGGCACATGCTTCTTCTTCTTTTCTCTTAATAGGCAAGACCATGCTTCTTTTCACTTCTATATAGTATTACTATTTTATATCCTTAATATAAAGCTTAGTTAATTAAGAATAGATTAAAAAAAATTAGTTAAGTTTTATTTGTAATAATAGACGTTGTTTTTCCTCAAAACATCTTTACTAATTATATATATTAACTAAAATTATTATTTGATGCAAATTTAACGTATACAACTATTATAAGTATTAACTTATGAAAAAATAGATTAAATATGAGAGATAAAGTAGATTGGGGTCTTATATCTAAGATCAAAATGAATGTCAATTAATTTTTATATTAAGGATAATGATTAGTATTTTTTTAAGACTTTTTTGTCCTTCTACTTTACTATCTTTTTTTTTTTGGATCTCAAGTCTCAACCATTGATAAAGTTTAAATTGTTAGCAACAGTAATCGATTGACTATTGTTAAATTTTGATAGATCAAATTTCGCCGCACTTCGAGATGTTCTGCTTAAATTTATTCACTTTGTTTATCATTAATATTTTGAAAAATTTCTTTTAGTCTTTGTATTTTGGACTCACTTATAATTCAGTCCTTCAAGTTTAACTCGATTATCTTAGTCCCTCTTTTATGACTGGATTGTAACTCAAATCCCTATTCTTTTATAATTTACAATCCATACGAGTCATCTTACATGACAGAAAAACATTATTATATTATTAAAAAATTGAACACCTGTTTCTAAGTTCCACCTTTAGCTTTGAAATAATAATAAAAAAACGCATAAGCCCATCAAATTGCTTGTTCTCCCCTTGGCGATCACACCGCTGATCTTAAACACCATCTGACCCTCAGCTCCACCATGACTCCTTAGCTCCATCTCCATTCTAAACTCCATCTGATCTAACGACTATGCGTACTTCAAGTGTTCCTGCCTTCCTGAGTTCGAACCCAAAAATCTTTAGCAAATGTTAATATGAATATGAATATCGAAGAATGTGAACAAGAGTACTTGAAAAGTTCTTCTTGTAATGCCTGTGCAGCTACAAATGTGAGAAATGGAGGTAGTGGGTGCTTATAGCTTGGCATGGGACTCTGACAGTCACAATGGCATTAAGTGAAGAAGGTCATGATTTACATGTTCGTGTTGATGCTATTGAACTTCGTAATTAAAATGTTTTAGTTCTTCAATTCCTTATTTAGTTTTCCTCCTCTGTTTCAGGCCCTGTCACAGTTGCCAAAATCGATCACTTTGTGGATTGGGGCTGAAAGAAGAGACGGGAAAGTTGAATGGGATAAGGGTGAAGTTTAGAATGAAGATGGAGCCAAGGAGTCCTGGCAGAGTTGAAGATCAGATGGTATTTAAGATCGGCAGCGTGATCACGAAGGGGAGAACCAGCAGTTTGATGGCTTATGCGTTTTTTAATTATTATTTCAAAGCTGAGGTGGAACTTGGAAGCCAGATGTTCAATTTTTTAATGATATAAATAATTTTTTTCTGCCATGTAAGATGACTCAATACTGACTTGTAAATTATTAAAAGAATAAGGAGTGAGTTATAACCGAGTCAAAAGTAAAAGGACTGAGCTGCACTAAGTTAAACATAAAGGATTGAGTTACAAGTTAGTCAAAATTACAAAGACTAAAAGATTAATTTTCCCTAATATTTTACTAAAAGTTGGGTAAAATGTTAAATCCAAGTTATCCAAATACAATCAAAAGGTTAAAATGAAACATGAGGGGAAAAAAATTCAGTGGATGAGTAATTCCCAGGTAGGCAATAACAAAATTCATTGCCGTAAATTAGTACTTGTGTTTTTTTAATAGTGTTATATATATATATATATATATAAATATATATCTATAATGTCTAGTATACCTGTTAGTGCTTTACTCGAATTGCAAGTAATAGTGATGCAGAATAGAGAATCCTGGCTGATGTTGACAATGGTGGATTCAATGGAAGGGACCGTGGGGCCTACAAGCTCCCAAGTCCAAGCTCTAATGTGGCTTCCACTTTGTTATCCCATAATTCAAAATTTGACATGGCGCTGGCCAAGATTAGATAAGATTACGTGTAACAGCACTTTCTTCTTTAATTTCGTAAAGATTTAGTTGAGTCTTACAGTCTTTTCCTAATTAAATCTTAAACTATACTCCGATTATAAATTTAGAAAGCACAGGGTTCAATGGACCACCAAAAAGAACAAAGAACAAAGTATAAATTTTAACATCGTTAGTCTGCCTTTATACATCAAAACCACAAATTTTACTAATCATATTCACCTATGCATAAGAACATTACAGTTGTATTAAGAAAATAAATGCAAACAAAACCATCATCAACCTATTTGCCATTGTTTTACAGATTCGGTTCATCACACATGATACAGTAACTGCCTAATTTATTTATAAGAACAGGCACTGGATACTACTGCTACAATCAACAAAATCCAAACCTTGAGGCATCATTCTATCTTAATGCCCCGAATCTCAAGCTTGTCCAGTTTCTTAGGCCTCCTGTAATATTTCAGCAATAGAGAGCAACAAACAACACTCACAGATGAGGCGGCCATTGCAGCCCCAGCAATCCAGGAGGCAATCGTAGTCCTGTAAAAGGGAAAAGAACTCCAGCAGCGATTGGATGCCAAGAAGATTATAACCCAAGCCCAAATGTAATTGAGACGAATGTGGAAAAATGTTCTTCTGGAGAGATCAATGGCAGTTATCACATCTTCCAAGTTGCTCTTCATCAGAACAATGTCAGCAGCCTCAATAGCTATGTCTGTTCCTGCACCAATTGCCATTCCCACATTTGCTGCTACAAAGCGCTGGTGAATCGTTGATGCCATCCCCAACCATTGCCACTGTATCCATCAGCCTTAAAGAAAAAGGAAAATATTCAGCATTTCAAGAAAATTTACTTCATGACTATAAGACCAACAATCAAATCTTGACTAGGAAGTATACT